TCATTTTTTTAAGAAGCGAGTTTATATAAATTCGTTTTTTAATGGTACCTAGAAATAAACAAAACCCAAAAAGACCTAGGGGTCGACTTTTAGACATTTCTATGATACAAATGCATCGGTGACGTTGAATACTTAAACGTGAGAATACACCGAATTAAAAATATTTGCCGATACTAAGAGCAAGCACCTATACACTATACAGTTAAAATAGTTTAAATCTATAGCTATATTACAGACAAATACTTTTTCGATTTGGCCAAACGCGTTTATATTAAACATTAAAGTCGGAAATAATAAAAATGAAAACTGTATATATATATATTAAGTATACATAATACACTCTTTTGTGTAACTTTTTTCACAAATGTATTTACGGTTTTAGCTAATATTTACTTTTATAATAGTTTATTATTGAAATTTGAAAACTTTTTTTTTTTTTCGGAACATAATTATTTTATTAAGAGTTAATGAACTAGAAAGTATTATTCTATTTAGTTTTAATACATATATATTTTTTTAATTCAAATACGAGCACTTTGTAGTATAAAATTATATGATATTATGATTATACATATACACTATACAGTTATAATTATATTATTTTGTACTTAAGTGTATATATACACACACGTACATAGGACAATATAATATGCGTCTATTGAAATAAACTTTGATAAATCATAAATGACTGTAACGGTAATCATTAATGATATAAGTTTCGATAAAAAAATATATTAAAAAAAATGTAAAGGTTTTAGTATAAGAATTAAAATGTTGTTCGATATAGGTGCTGCTATATAATACTGAATTGATGCAGTCGGGAATTACTGTTGCGCGACTTGCTATTTATGGAAATAAGTCAATATTTTGTCTTTACTTTTTTTTCCTCCGCGTCCGTTTATTCATTTAAAATTGCGTTTCGGTTGAAAGAACCGTTAGAAAAAAAATAATCTCAACGGGAAGAGGAGAAGTTGGAGACAAAAAAAAAAAAAAAAAAAATAATAATAATAATAAAAATCGTCAAGCTCAGTTCGCTACAAATGCGGCGACGGTGCAGTAGTGGTAGTAAAATGGAGGGGAATTAATTTTCCGGACTCCGGAAACCTTGGCGCGGTGTCGGCCGATTCGCATGACATGTGTTTTCCCTAGCGAAGAGAATAATTGGCGGTGGGAGGCAAACGGAGGGTCGGTATAGGTATATTCGCGAATGGGGTAGCAGACATGTCAGAGATTTAATCTGAGAAAACTTAATCGATTCTCACCCGTTCACCCGTGAACCGAAAAGAAAAAAAAATACATATATATATATACTATTTGACTATATATATAAGGGTGAAAAAGAAAGTCACCTCCTCCGGTCCATATTATACTTTTCGTTATGCTGTGTGGCTGGGAAATAAAGTTTATTGTATACATCTGTGGTACTGGTGTATGCGCCGGTGACGTAACAATGGGTCCGGGTTACACTCTGTCGTGCGAGCGAGCGAAAACCGGAAATCGATTCTCGCAGATGATTGAATATACAACAGAAAAACATATTGCGTATACATCCGAAAACATTATGCATCCTCGTACAGCAGTACATTTTATTATTATTATTGTTATTATTATATACGTTTTTATGGTGTGCAATGTTCCTACACGGGCACCATGTACCTGTTTCCATTTCAGGGTTAAAAAGGGTTTTCCTTAAAACCCCCGAGATGAGGGATCGACATCTCCATAATATACTTATACCTATACATAAATATTCGTAAATCGGTAAAATACCTGTATGTTGTACGCTGCGTAATTTCTCCGATAAATCATTGTAATAATTATTATTTGTATTCGAGTGCCGGTGAAGAAAATATTATTATACTCGATAAAATATTGTTGTTTGAAAGCTTCCGCACTTTACAAGTTCATCCGGCAACCTATCTACCTACCTACCTACCTCTAAATCTTGAACATTATTTTAGGTTTTTAAAAAATTAAGCGTTTGCCTTTTTTCTTTTTATATATAAAATTAACGATTTTAATGACCGATTTAACGATATCCAGTTAATAATGACCGTGGTTCATTATAATAGACTTGAATAAAAACTAACTGTTGATTAAAAACAAATTACGATTTTATCAATTTGTCACCTATGTATTTATTATTTATTCCGATATTGTTACCTAGGTATGTTAATTTTTTTTGCCATTTTTACGATATTTATTAAAATTTGAATTATGTATACTAATTAAAAAACCGAACAAATATTTAGCTACGAATTTTCGATATTTTTTTAACAACACGTATAAATAATTACTATTAAAACTGGACACCATATTTTTATTGTTAAATAAGTCGCCATATACAAAAATAATTGACTATCCCGTTTCAAGTAAATACTTTATATTTAATTATCTAGTGTCCACATAATTAAATTTAACTGAATATTTAAAAAATCCTCCAAGTCTTCAAATTTGCAGAACTACTTTGGATCTGTCACTGTTGTGGGAGGTCCCCGTTTCGTTCCAGGTATCAGAAAAAAACGCGCTTGAATATTATAGTACTCAATCATATTTTAACCTTTAACTTTATGAGACCTAACATAATTATAAAATGGTTCAAGTTTTAAATTAAAATGATAAATATTGTTGAGTAAATTATAGCATCTTGTAATATAAGGTCTCCGTTCTGCTCCACGTTCCCCTATGATTTTACTCCGTATTATTTTGTCCTTTTTTTATTTAGGTAAATAATAAAATAAGTTTGGTATTTTTTGTAAATTAAATGATATATTATAAAATGTAACCACACAATAATATCTTCATTTAAAAATATTGAACTAATATTTCGTACTAAAGTCATTAAAACTGGCAAAATAGTTCGACGAATTGATTGGTCTATGGTCAAAGCCCAGTTTAAATTTTAATCTAGCGATACAATAAAATCAAATTTCTGTAGTTAAACTTATGTTTAACATTAACTGCGACACTTTATTTCTCCTTACTGTCGATTGACAAAATGGGCCTAAGTGATTTAGATACATTACAGTCATTATCCGTTTGCATTTAAACCATCAAGACCAAACTTTTGTTCTCTTAAAAAATATAGTTTTAAAATACGTGTACACAATTTATTATCATATGAAAATTCAATGCACACAAACAAACGATTTCTGTATTGATAAAACCGCAGTTGGTAGTCGATTTAAGTACTATTATTTACTATGCAACGTCAATAAGCCAACTTCTCTTTAGTATCTACCTATATTATACACTTTGTGTTCAATTTTTAACTGATCGATTATGTTAGGTTTATGAAACTTTTAGATTACTTAACGATACGATCAAATATATACTTTGTAGGATAAAAAATAAATAAATTCAATATATTCATATAACTGTTCTTTTACTAAATACTGTAAGTAAGCATTTTAAAATTTAATTAATATTTTATGAGTATACGTTTACGATTAGGCAATCGATATAAAAGAACAATACGGTAAGTATTATTGGTACAGTTTTATAATTTAAAAGTAGTTATGGTATTAGTTGAAATGTTTCCAAAATATTAATGTTAAACAAACTGTTATATAATATTGTAATATTATAATGAAATTTCAGAATTATAGAATTTTATAATGAGTTTATCTTTGTGTATTATTATTATCAAGAACAACAACAAAAAAAAAAAAAAAAACCGTGGTTGAGATTTAGTCAGAAAAACTTTAGTAAATACATATTTTTAACGACTGCTATTGGAAACAATATATTTGTCTTAAGAATATTTTAATTAAATAATTATATCAACCATTCATCAAAGACAGCGTGTCAAGCATCTTTAACTTTATTTAAATATTCAAGTTTTTTAAAATATTAAAATGCTACAAAAAATTTTAAATAAATTAAAATTGTATTTCGTTTGTTTGGCAAAAAACAAAAAAAAACGAAAACAAAAACCCCGACCAAACATAATAATAATGTATAATATGATAAATATTTATTACTTTTTTCATACTAATAATATTTATGAGTACTAAAATGTACCAAAACTATTAAATTTTATCTTTTTGGCGTAGTATACATTTGTGTTAGATCACGAGGTTCGTTTTCTAACATTTTATGATCATACGACGTTGTTATAGCGTCTTCTGGTGATACAATTTTCAATTTTCACAAAACTACCGACCATATTATAGTCGAAGACGATAATGTTATATATAATGTTTCATTATAAAAAAAGTTTCGAAAGAATTCATCCAACATAAATGTACCGTAGATTTAAAAGTACAAAAACAAACTATTAGTATTTCTTCAATAAATTTTCGACATCAAATTATTTATTCTGATAACAATTTACTTTGAAATTGCTTACTTTTATACTAATAAGTGATTTACCTTACTACAATGATCAGCTTTTCATGTTTGACATTCATTTAAGGACGTGATTATCAATTTATTATAAATGATTGTGGTAATTTAAGTTGGATGATTTAAATTGAGATTCCGTATGGGGGTGTATAAGATGTCTAACCTTATAAATATAACCGAAGAATTAAAAAATTATATCACGAATCACAAGACCGGGAAATATCAAGCATTTTAAATCATATGATAAAGGTTCAATTTGTTTTAAAATGATCTATAATATTATATACACACATATTTAATAATAATATATGATTAAAATGATTGGGGTTGAAAAGATGCACAAATTGTTTTATCCAGCTTGATGATAAATTAAACGCATATTTTTATTTAAAAAAGTTTATTTGCCCAAATATTTCCAGCGGTTTAAAAAAAAAGTAAAAAAAAAAAATGAATGACTGTTTATAGGTGTGTCACTAAAGTAGATGGGCAGTATATGCAGAATTTATTTATGCCTGTAAGCAACGATATAAATTATTGTTCGAAAAACGATTCGGAGTTAACCTTGGTTAAGCCATTCTTTAAAACAAAGTACACATGAGTTGTATAGAAAAACAGAAGTTAGGCACCTGAATTACGCTCTCTATACCATTACCACAACTTGATCGCATCGCTTTACACGAAATATGTATTTAAAACATTAACAATGCCTATAAATAACTCATTCTGTAGACATTTCACATCATTGTGATTATTATTAACCGAATTACGATAAAAATAGAAAATCGAAAATAATCAAACCGTACACATTCCCGTTTGTCTTACGGTTAGTTTTCTGATTTTTCTTTATTATCTAGAAAACTAACATGACCTACCTAATACAACGCAAAAATCTCTTGGCATTTTATTGATTGGAATAACATTTCTAATATAAAGTGTTCTGAAAACAAAACAAATTTAATTTAAAAAAAAAAAAAACCTACATCATAAAAACAAATACATTCTGAGCTTAACAAACAATGTATCATAAAAAAAAAAAAAAAATAAGATCAACATTTCAAGATGAAAAAGTAATAATCATAGACATTCACAGTTCCTACATAATGTCAGTATAGATTAAATAGAATATTATTATAGGTTTATCAATATTTACTATTTACATTATACCAATTTTGAAAACTCGATTTTATTACAAATTAGTAAATGATTAATTTACTATTTTAATAAATAATTTATGCTAAACAAAATATTTCATATGTGTGCATTTGATTTGCAATGAGATATACAAACCAACTTTATAACTCTATAGGTACTTAATACTGTTTTTACAAATATATATTATGGTTGATTAATACTAAGTAGCTGTAACCATTATTTTTGGTTTAAAATTTTAAGATAAGTTTTCCATTAATAGTTTGATTTCACAACAATGATCGAATAGCACAAAACTGCAGGTGTTCATGACTGGAGAAAAATCGTATTTTTCATTTTTCGTATTATTATTTTATTATATTACCTATTTTATATTATGTTTATACTGTTTTACGGATTTCAAGTTGCGGTTCAATGACAAAAAGGGGTTATGTCGAAGGAAATGTTTGTAAATTAATCAGGTACCCAGGATAACGGGTTTCGTGTTTTTCATTTCCTCGGGGAAACCGCCCAAGTCGAAGCTAGCTATATAGACGAATGCATAAAAATGTAGGATTGGTGAGAGCCATAAGCTGATTTACTTAGGCGTTCTACGCAGGACAGTTGAAATGTGTATATAAATTTATATATATATATATATACATATACATTATACATTTTATACATATACATATACATATGGTATACATTATATTTATTTGGTCATGGTGTGTCTGCGTAAGATATACGATGTCTTTCTTGGGCGACAAAAAACGATTTCTTTGCGAGTTACACGTTCCATCTGTAGTAAACGTACACGGTGAGTTTATCTATCAATTGTATAATAATATCATATTTTTAAAATAACATTAAATTTGTATTATTAACATTTTTATTGTTTTTAATGGATTTTTCTTGTAAAAATTTCGATTTTGTGCTGATTTTTTTGAAACAGTGGAATCAGGCGCGTACAGTACCCGTGGGCTGTAAAAAGTTTTGTGCCCCTGTTTAATAGACGTTCGGACAAATATTTTGTATACATTTTTCAATTTTTAAATCAATAATCCATCATTAATTAATTTCCAAAAATAACAAGATAATATTAATTGGGTTTATTAACTATATCCATATGCCCGTGAATATATTATGTACAAACAAAAATTATTTCAGATCTATTAAAAATATAAAATTGCCATATCAAAAAATACTTAGGCACATATTTCACACGATTGGGGGAACACTTGTAGGTAGCATTTGGGAAGAAAAGATATAGAAGAGAATTTAATTTTTATCTGTACGTCGTAATGAATTATGGCTAATGAAAAATAATTTGGAGCGAATTTTTTTTAAATATGCACGTAGATTTTTCTGTTTTTCCTACGTTTATTATGAAACCCACTTGGAAAATCAAAAAATGATCTCCTTAAAGTACCACCCAGATAAAATTTCCTTTCAATAATGGTACCTACTAGATTTAAAATTGAAACAAATTTTCTGGTAGAAAAGTTTTCACAAATAAAAAAGAAAGAAGAAAAATATAAACATCATTGCAAAATCAATAAATTTCTCGTTATGCTCCAAATCTAAAATTAATATTAGCATGGACCAATATTCATATTTTTATTTTTCTTGCTTTTAATGGGCAAATATGTTAAGGTATCATTAAATTTTATTTTTTCAACCGATTCTGCTCCATTGCTAAATACTGCTAATGTATTCATGTTTTCCTCTTTCATGGTTGACCTCAATTGAATTAATAATTACCCGAGAAGTTTCAAATTGCTGTATTAAAATACATACGCATACATATTTTAAAATTTATAATCATTATGTGTATTGGTTTCATCCACAACAATTTATCTAAATTTACGATAAAAATTAAAACAGTCCTATATAGTAGCTACACTGGGCAAATTTAGAACATCCATTTTAACAATATTCAGTTGTTATTTTCAACTATTATTATTATTATTGTATGTGTGTATTATTGTAATCGGATTGAGACTTGTCACGAGAAGAAGCGAAGAAAAAACAATCAGAGCATTTATGGAATGAAAACGAATAGAGAAGATACATCGAGGTTGACTGAATAAGAGGTGGCTAGACGTGGTATAAAAGAATCTTAAAGCTCTGAGAAAGTAAGAATGGACAGAAATTATTTAAGATTGGGAGAAATAGAAGGATATAGTAGAATTGGCAAAAACTAATATAGTTATAATTCATATATTAGGTGTATATTCGTCATATATTTAGTTGCAGACGGGTGGACAGATGGATCACGGCTTTATATGTATATAATATATTTATTTGTTTCCTCCCCCCTTTTGAAATTCAAAGTAAAAATTTCACTAATAGTTATAATACTGGTGCCAAAATATTATCGCAATCACGCCTCTTCGGGCTCATCGATAACTCGTAACGAATGACATCATAACATTACTATAATGACAACGGTGTCAGTATATTACAATTATTATTGCCTGTTAGATGCTGTTTGAACTATTATCATTTATAATATACGTTCCGCCGATAGTCAGTTTTACGAGCTATTTACATTTTACACGATTACTATGCAAAATATATTATACCGTCGAATTTTATCCCTCCTATTTTCGAATATTGTTAACATAATATTTTGTGTTTATATGTATGTTTGTGTTGTGTACACGCTTTTGCAGTGTTATCGAATATAATGGAGACATGAATACACCGAGCCAGTATAATAATTGGATCATAATCGTTTATAATGCATTAATTTATTGGAAGATAATTGAAAAAAATAAAACAGTTGTTTTTAAAACAAAACTTAAAATGCCTATAGCAATTTTAAATTTAGAAAAAATTAAATATTTTCTCAGCGGTGAATACCACCAAATATGTAAAAATTGCTATATGAATATTATGCATGAGTGTCATCAGTGTAGAGACGCAATAAAGTACAATTTGTATCTATCTAAAGATAAAAGATAATTTTTTCGAAATTACTTAAATAAAAATAAAAATAACAAAAATGTTAACTATCTTACGTTGAGATAATATAATAGACAAGTGAAAGCTATAGTAACTTTAAACTTAAACAGTTATTTAATAATTCATCTATGAGTAAAACTTTGCAGAGGTATTATTAAATGTTAAAAGAAACAAAATCGATCTCTTGTCATTTTTTGATTGAAGCAATATCTGGTAGAAAACATATTTTGCAAAAATTAAAAACAATGAAATCGGTAACGTCGAAGCGTGCCGTAAATATTTGCCGTTTCATCTTAGTCTAATTTCATTTCGATTTTTCCCAATTATTTTGAAAACCTCTTAATAAATCAAAAATATTACCTGTTCATTGCAACAACTAGAGAAAATAACCTTTCAGAAAAGATGCTATACTTGTTACTTCAAAGCAAGATTTCTTGTAGAAAAGTTGTTCACAAAATAAACATCATAGTAAAACCAATAAATACCTCAATACTCTTCGGACTTAAAAAAATCTACCATTTTAAAATTGTTCGTGTTAAATATTATATAAAAACAATAAGTTTATTTTGATATTAATGCACTTTCAATTTCTACACTATTTAGATTCTGAGTGGAGCGAAGAATGTATTGGTATACACTTTTTCTACCAGAGAGCTTACTTCAATTATCAAGTACAGCACCTTTTCTGAAAGGTGATGTTCTCTGGATGGTACTTTAGAAAGGTCATTATTTGAAACTCTCATTAATATTCGAGATAACGAGGAAAACCTGGTTCTTTAGGTTAAAAATAATTGAACGATTTAAAAAAAGATTGTCATTGGAAACTTTTTTATTTTTTTTGTTATTATTAAGTTTTCATTATTACAAACTATAATTTTTGTCATGGAAATGCACATTGGTGTAATCATTTTACTATAATATGGCATGATATAATATGATATTTTATTGACAAATCAACACTATCAACTGAACTCCGCTCAGAATCGTTTTTTCGTTAGCAATGGTTTATCGTTGTTTAAAAATATATACGTTAAATTTCCATCTCTATCCTACTTTTCCGAAATCCCACCTACACAAGTGGCTGCACCCACATGTGAAGTATGGTCTGTCGTTTTTTTTTTATTTATAATTATGCTAATTTAGTAGGCACAGAGCATGAAAATATCCGTTTTTATTACAACTAATTGATTTCTTTACACAGTTATAGTAGACAAGCTCATGAAATCGTATCTACAGCGATAATTGCATTTTATATTATACTAGAATATTGATTTGAAATATTTCACAAGCCACATATTTTATGGTTTAATAAATTTCAGTTCTAAATTATTTGAATTCTAAGTACGCAGTATTCTTGCAGAGAGGCTATTATAAAACAAATACTTAACACAAATTTTATCGTATGGACAAAAATATTATTACGGTCTAATTATTGTACAATTATTAATCGCCTGTATTGTAATTTACCGTTAATGGCTTAATAATATATGACAGATATTGACAGATCACGGCGATGAACTCGTTGATTAAGGGAAATTTTGTACGACAAAGTTGTTCATACATCGCGCATTGCGTACTGTACTGTCAATCAAATTTTAATCAATTGCGATTGTAACGCGGCATTGAATTAGACAACGTTTGACGGCCAGAAAGTGGTAGAAATTATTACCGTGCCGTCGAATGGTTTATCGAGTGAATTCCGGTGTGCTAATATAAATTATGATTGCCGTTTTAAATTAATAATCGCGCGGAATATGTGAAAAACGACATAGATTCTATTGATAAAATTATCGTTTTTACTTTTTATAGTACACAGCCGTTAGAGCTTTCCGGTTAAACAGTTAAATATGACAATATTCTAAGAAAATATCTCCAATACATGGGCGAAATACCATTACTTAATGAAATAATAACAACAACAACAACGAAGGAATCAATTATTACTAGGGCTTTCTAAAAAGAACGAACATTAAAGAAAGTATTAGGATTTTATAAAAACCCACAGTTTTAAACTCGCATTCAAAAAATGAATTTCTAATAATCTCGATAAACATAATACTATAACGTTTTATTTATAACAGTATACGGATTCTTTGTAAAGTTTAAAAAAAAAATACAAAAATCAAGTTTATTGAAAAATCTTTATGTATATATGTATTTATAAAGGTAATACCTTATTCGCAATAATGCGTGAATATAGACAGTTGAATGGGAAATTGTCACGCAATTATAATTTGACAATAGCAATAGGTGAATAGCTATATTTTTGTGAATATCAATAGGTTGTAATTATAAATAATAAACTATAAGTTATATTAAAATACGGCATTTTATTTTATTTACATTAAGTACGGCTCAACAGTTTTTTTTTTTTTTTATGAAAAGGAAACCAATAATTATACATTTAAAATTAATAAAAACACACATAAAGTCATTAATGAAATGATGAACGCTGTATTAATAGTGTATATAATTATAATGTTATATTATTTAACATAATATTGGTAGATATTACCCACGCGTGGTTCAATCAGTTTACACGGTCACAGCGAATATGAAAAATTATCAAATTCGTAGAATATGGCAGCAGGCGTGACCAATTATAACAAACTAACTTTTGAACAATAAGATTACGGATCGTTCAACGATCTTAATACTGTTTGTTATGACAAAATTTGGTGCAACGTGCAAACACTTCATGCGGGGTCCATTAATCACTGATAAATCGTTTTGACCAGTTGTCTTGTATCTTCTCCTCTTCCTCCTCCCCTCGAACCACTCCCTATGCTATGTCAAAAAAAATAAACCGACCGTCGCTAAAACTTGACAGTTTGTAAGAGTTGTCGAGATACAGAAACTTCGGCCACCATAATACCGTTCATAACAATAATAATATATTATATTTACAAATAAATCACAGCCGCGGTGCATTATTATAATATATATTTCAACTACCGACACTGCCGCCGTCGAGACAGTTCAAAACTGAGTAGAAATGTGTCAAACCGAACAAAACGGATGACATTTCCAGATCCGAGTTTAATTAGTGCAGCGTATAATACACTCTCGGGCTAAAAGTTGATAGTCACGACTGACTGGAGAGAGAGAGAAAGACTTGGAGAACCTCCATGAATATACCAGGTGCCCCTATTTTATGCATCGTACTATTCGAACTAGGAAATTTTATTTTCAATACGTATACAAATATGCATGAACTTAACTATAATTTTTAATTCCATTAACTTTTGACAAACTCCATGCACTTATAATTGGAGTATTAAGTTTATTACCAATATTAATTGGTCAAATTATTAAGAACTTAAAAGTCGCTTTATTTCATGAAAAGTTACAATGCTATATTTGAAACTATCAATCACTATTTAGATTAATTATTTTGACTATTTTCACCTTATCATAATAAAAATCATACACCATTTTTAGATTCTATAGAAATCATACTTTAACGAAGAAGCTATAGTTAATTTACTAAGATGGGTTTTATATTCTGAGTGTATGTATAGGTTTTATTATAGTGTATGTAATTTTTTTTCTGTTTCCTAAAAACTTTTTTATTTTAAGTTTTAATTTGATTTTCAAGTGTAGCATCGTTTTTGAAAAAATGGTTGTCTAGTTGGTACATAGGAAAGTTTTCGATTAATTTCCAATGTAAATATCTATATAATTGTAAAAATAGATCAATAAACTTAGAAAAAGGGAAAAATGTACTGTCTATATAAGAGCTAGTTTTCGTTATTTACAATTTGGTTATTTTGTTGAAATTAGTTTGAAAAAAAAAATAGTTCAGTTTTGCTATTTTCAAATTATATTTATCTTAGTTTTTTAGATATGTGGTGAAATGTTCAAAAAAGTTGTGCAATTTTTAAGTTATTTATTTTCTGATCTTTTTAATTTTTATTTGGTTTTATGTGGATACAATTGTTTTCACTAAACACAAAGGCTAAAAAATTTAAAATAAGTAATGTTATACATGGTGATTAAATAAAAAAAAATTGAAAATTACTGCACGTTAAATTTTTTATGAAAACCGTAAAAATTACGGGAATTTAAAACATAAATAACCGAAATTCACTCAGAATCGTCTTTGGTCAACAATGTCGTTGTGTACAGATATAAAAAAAATAACTATGTCTTCTTAAGTTCCCAACTAACACAATGATGCATCCATAAACAGTATTAGTTCTATTTTTTTTTTTTTTACCGGCGTATAAATTATAATAATATTGTGACCCGTGGAAACATCATAAAATTCGTATTTATCGAATTCATCAATCCACGATTTTTAAAAAATCCGAATTTCATCACGTGGGTAGGGAATTTAACTCCAAATCTCATTCTGAACACGAAGCAGTGGTTTCAAAATTCAATTTAATTTAAGGTCATTTTATGATTTTCCTAAGAATTGTCTTGGCAAATGGGAAAAACCTGAAAAAAACATGGGAAAACCAGGAAATACGTATGAAAAACTTAAAAGTCGGTTGCTTTAAACAAATATTATTGAAGATAATATACAATGCATATTTAATTATTTGACCATAATATGACATATATACGGTTGGCATAGCAACACTATCAACTGGATTGCGATCAGAATCGTTTTTTCGTTATCAATTGTTTGTCGTTCATACAGATATACATTAAATTACCTATAAAAGTGGTTGCACTCCACCCCATTATCCTAGGACTTCTCTTTTAATCATTTTATTGTTACTCTTGTTGTGTATAACCATTCAATTTTCACGTTTTATTAGTTTTAACTTGGTTTTATGCGGTTCCTTTTTTTGGGCCTAGTA